TTTTAAAGTTTAAGAGAAAAATTATTCAAAAATTATATTATTTTAATAAATTTTCATTAAAAAATATTTAAATATTTCATTTTTAAAGTATGAATTAAAATATTTTTATTTTTTCTCATGGTGTTTTATTAAAATGATATAATTTTAAAATAATTTTTTTTTTAATTTTTAAGAGATAAAGATTAATAAATTTTAACTTATATATATATATGAAGTTAGTACTTATTCACCTTATTTCAAAAAAATAAAAAATAAATAAAAATCACCTTAATACATGCTTTAAAAATAAAGTAATTTAATTTTTTTCAATAAAAATTTATTAAAATAATATAATTTTAAAATAATTTTTCTTTTAAAGATTAAAAGGTAAAATTGATAAACATTATTCTATATATATATTTTCAAAAACAGATGAAGCAGTAAGTTAGTCATTTCCAAATTCCAAGTAGACTGAGCCCAATCCATCACGGGCCAAGCGCCGAAAGTCAAAATCTTATGATGGGAGGCTAAATGGTGAAATGTCAATGACATTACAGGGCCAATTAATTAACCCAGTCGACGAGGAAACATTTATGAGGAGCCACTTAACCATTCCGTAAAACATTTGGATGTCCCTGTAAAGTGGAACCGTAACATTTTTTTGTTTTTTTTGAACAATGCGCCAGCCACGCTGAGGCTGCCACATCACTAAGGGTGGGTATGTCTTTTTCTTCTTCGCCGGAAAGACACACCTAGCGCATCATCCATGAGAATATGGCGTACGCCATCTGGTGGTCTCTCAAAAATGGTTCTGCCAACAGACAAGTGATATCCTAAGGCAGCCATATAATCAGCTGCTGCATTCCCTTCTCGATGGATGTGCTCAACCGTAAATGACGTGAAACTATTTAGCAGTTTATGAATATCCAACAACAGCTTTGCCTCCTCCTCATCATCTCTTTCTGCATTCTTTTGGATCAGTTGCACTACCGTCAGAGAATCCATCTCCAGAGCCAAGTGAGTAACGCCCAGAGACTTACATAAACGCAATCCCTCTAGACAACCCCATAACTCAGCCATAAAAATTGATACAGATCCAATGTTCACCCATCCAATGTTCAGAGAAAACCCTTGCACCCAATCGCCATTAGAGTCTCGAACAAGTCCTCCAGCACAAGCCCTCCCTGTCTCCCGACGCAAGGCACCGTCAGTATTCAACTTACGGTATGGGACGACCGGTGGATGCCAACTAACCCACCTAAGGCAAACTAAGGTTGAGTAAGTACATGTATGAATCAAGTATTTATCCATGCATTTACTTAAACTTGGATTTTAGTTAAGGGGAAATCAATAAAAGAAAACTTGATTAATTGACCAAAGTACAATCTAATCGTTCAAAAGAGACAACACTTACTAATGCTGCAGAAACAGTATAAAAGTCTTTACGTAAATATGAAGAGAGATGCTTCAGTTATCCCTATATGCTTACAACAAACGCCTAATGGTAGGATAACACAACTACTTAAGGGGGATTAAGTACTATAAATATTACAAGAGCATCAGATCATTCTACGTGGAGAAAGTATAACTACAGCAGAATGATTGATTGATTGTGTTAAACTGCTACCTACCGATCATTGAGTTTCACAGGAGCATTTGCCAGGTCCTGAATCTCCTTCCTGCTCTTTATCACACTCCATTTCCTGTTATTGAAATCAAGTCTGTCCAAGTCCTCTGAAATTGCCATATAACCATATAGAAGCTGCTCCTCCAACTTGTCACCCTCATTGTCCTTCTCCGTGCTGCTACTGCTTTTGCCATCACCTGATATAATTCCCTGAAACTCTACTCTTCCTCGCTTATTGTCAGCGAAATACTTGTGAAGTTTCTCTGCATTTGCCAGTCCAGAAAAAGTGCCCAAAAACTTTACCACTATTACACTCTGGTCTGCAGGCCTTCCAAGGCACACTGTGACTTTTCCAGCAATTAAGCCCTTACCTGAAATCACCCCAATAACCAAACAGGGGAAAATTTAAAAAAAAAAAAAATGTAAACAATAAATGGTAAGCTTGGCATCTTATTCAGAGCAAATCTCTTGCATATAATGTCAACCAACTGACTCATCATGATAACTTTTTAGGCACCATATCTTCTAATAATTTTGAACCAATTTCAGAAACTAAATTATCTTGTAAATTTGCTAGTCACCTCTAAGATAAGCCTGAACCTCTTCCATGGGTATCACTTGCTGCTCTTGTGGCATATTGTTTGACATAGAAATGTTGTGGATGACAACAATTGGAGGCCAGAGGATTAAATCATCCTTCTGAGCCAATGCTTCTGCTTCAGGCAAGACCTGGGGAACCCATGTTATGGCTTCCACAGGCAGGGCAGTATCCCATCCCAACAAAACGCATACCGCTCTATGGAGACCCAAGTGTAGTGTCCTCAACCCAACCTTGTGTGACATGAAGCAATGGTTTACCAAGCGCTGGGTGTCCATAAACTCCTTTGAGTAGCTGTAAAAGTAAAGACATAAGAATAGTTGACATAAAAAGAGAACCATAACCAACTTCAAATATGAATGACTTGCACTTATTAATCATATATATGGATGCTCCCACATCCACTGAAAATTTATCAAATTCAAGAAGAAAGAAAATATCCAAGATCCCTCTTCACCCTTATCCAAGAGAGTTGACACAAGATCATTAACATGCAAGTAAACTCATATCCATTATGGTGCCAATCAAACCAAAGGGAATGCAAAAAAATGATAATAAACAGAAGATGCAAAACCTGACATCACTTCTATTTGGCTCAATTATAATCTCCTCCTCAATATCTAACCAAATCAAGCAAAGCATATCATGGTCTTGCAGAACATCAAAGAACAATCAAATCCATACCAATTGAGAAGCACTCCTTAAGCTTTTAACCACATTTTGTGTAAAAAAGACTTCAGAGAGAGAGATTATACTAAAGGTACATGATGAATGATGAATGATGATGACATTCAAAGGGTAGAATCTACTTCCAAGTCAAGTCTGGACTGGAACCTCCGAAAAGATAGACCAGCAATCCTTTAGCTCAATTTCTTTAATCAGCCTCACAAAACATTTGATACCAAGAACAGATTCCCCTTTAAAAGAATTACCCGAAGTGGATACTGGCACTTCCTTACCAAATGATAATAGTCAAAACCTTAAACATAAAGTCTATTCTGACTGCCCACCATGCCTCCCTAGTCACCATTTACCCAGGAAAATGTAATGCCAGAAGAGAATGAATGAGTTTGATGACACTGAATCACTTACTGTTCAAAATTCACAAAAACCAAAACTACTGAAAATAATGGCCTGCAAATACTGCAAGAGGCCACAATAAAAACCAAGAGAAGAAGCCAAACAATAAATCCTTCTTTCGAGTATGGAGCAAACTTACCTCATTGCGGCTTTAAGAGATACTTACTAGGAAAAACCTGAATCAAAATAATATGTAATAACATGTTTTCCACTTTAAATTGAATATCATGTAAAAGAAAACAGACCTTCTACCGCATACGATGCAAAACAAGCTACCAGCTTTTCCTTGCTCCTTGTATCTTCTACGCACAGACTGATTCAAGTTCAACTTTTTAGAATACTTTAAGAATGCATCATTCACCAATTGCTTGAATTCTTCAGTATTCTCAGATGGATCAGAATCTGGAAGGTTTGCTAAATCCTCTGGCATGTCACAATCATCTGTTTGCAGATCCTCATCATAATAATCATTTCTTTTCCAAACTTTGATATGTTTCTGAGGATTGCTTCTGCTATCACTGTGATGTGAGGCATGCCAACTCAAAGAACCAAGTCTTGTATTTCCTTTAACAAATTTACCACTATCTTTGTAAAATCTGATTCCAGGCCTTGGTGCAGGTACCAAGGAATCTTCAGAAGCATACCAGTCATCAGACGTCAAATCTCCACAATGATCTTGTTCCTCGTATGTCCTCCCAACTTCTCTATATTCCTCATGGCCAAATCTCTGTGTAAATTGTGGATCACTCATATCTTCATAAGCCCACTCCTCACTATCATATGCATCCTCAAACTCTTGAGGCGCACTCAATTTGCCAGGCATAATGTTCTTAAAACTAGGCCTAGAAAGGACTTCCTCTGTAACATATTTTCCTTTGACAATTCTATCTGATGGTTCATACATATGAAACTCTTTCTCCTTCATTTTCTGAGATTTTAGAGCCATTCTGTCAGTCTCTGAATCATATTTAGACAAAGGGGAATTGTTTGATCTAGCTTTCTGAAACTCTGGTCCTGTTCCTCTACCAAAATTCGATACTTGACGAGCTTGTGATGCATCAAAATGAGATGTTTCATACTCTTGTGACCTTTCAAACTCAAAACAGTTGTCTCCTGGACCCAAGTACTCACCTGGATGCTTTGACACAGATGATCTGTTCATGTCACTGTACTCTGGAATTGTCCGTTTTGGAATTGTAGGATGGTCTGATATGGTAATCTTTCTTGTATTTCCATTAGAGTCATCAGAGATATCAATTCTGTCTGCAACATGGCGCAAAATCCTTTGTCTTGATATGTCTCTATGACCATAATCCAGTGGGACGTGATCGTATTCAACTCTAGTTTGCGGAGGCATCATCCTGTTTAATTCTTCAGGTGGATACCTACGATCATCAATGACCATTTCCATGGGTTCATTGTAAGGGTGGTCCTCAGGCTCTGCCCTTCCAGGACTGTATACAGCCCGTTGATATAATGACGCATTCCTCCTAGCAGCAGTGGAGTTGACCGCAGAATCTAGGAGTACTCTGGACTCGTATGTGCTATATCCTACAGGTTCTGCAACTTTCCCAGTGGACCTAGAATATTCTTCAGGCTCAGGCAAGGGTGCACCATTCCCTCTATAGGAATTTGGATACTCATTTCTTGCCATAGCAGAAGAGGTGCTTGCAAAATTCTTAGAATGAGATGCTGGCACAGTGCTGTATGAGACATCCCTTGAATGAAACATAGGTTTCTCCCCTTTGTAAGACTCCATCGGCATCAGCTTTTCCGATGCTATTGAGTCCTGATAACGAGGTTTTTTATGCTCATACCGATCTATATCCATGCTGTGAGATGAAAATGGTATACGCCCACCAGTTTCTTCATAATTTGAGGTGGGACCCATATCAGAAGGCAACCGACGTGACCCTCTTATTTCAACATCTTCCACGGGTAGCAATTTCTGACTCAACTGGACATGCTCATCAACAACCCCAATCCTGTTCTCAATAAAGTCGCTCTCCTTGCTTATCCTAGAAGTTCCATGATCGTACCCGTAAACATGCTTTGATCTAGAAGTTGCACCATGTTCAACATCCAGAGCATCATAGTCATACTTCCTATTCACAATCTCCTCTTGAGGGTGAGGTAATTTGCGCAGCTGCCTATAAGGAGGTGACCTTGACCGATCTTTTTCAGTCCTACCACCACCACCACCACCACCATACTGCCACGCCTGAAGACCCTCCTTTTTCTCAATTGAACCACTCCTTCTCTCCCTAACCAAAACCCTCCTAGACCCATCTACTGCACGAGGGCTCGCACTCCTCTGTCTTCTGGAAGGCCGATTCATGACCTCTCGACGCGAAACCCTATATGGGTCATGGTCAATTTCATCCCTGTGCTGCCGGCTTCGCATCTTGATTGATGCAGGAGGAGATATACGCTCTTCATTCCTTCTGGACTGCATCTTCACTAGGCAGAATTAAACTTCTAAATCTGTAACTACTTAATAAACCCCTAGCTGATCAAATTCAGTATATAACAACTTGTAATCGAACTAGATCCAGCAGATAAAAGTATGAACAGTAGTCAATAAAGACCGCAACATCAACCGAAAATCCCTAAAACTGACGGCAAAAGAAATGCGCAGATAGGGTTTTTGATAATCAAACCTTTTCCTGTTTCCGACGCAGAAAATCCATGACGATCCTCGTCCTAGGGTTTCCACCGAGCAACCGAGTATGGATTCGTGTATTTTTCTTCAGCGAGAAATTGGTAGGAAATTTCGGGTGAATAATGGAAGATGATTGAGAAAAGGTTAAAAGGCACTAAGAATTGGTGTGTTTCCTGTTTTGCTCCGCATCTGATTCGAGAGATGC